CATTTTCTGTCAGGACTTAATATATCCAGTGCTGCTTTCTTTTTTTCCTACTGTGTTGGGTGGGAAGGCCTGTTGTTCCGTTCGTGGGCATCATCTGTTTGCTTGGGTGGCTTTTGTTTCCTTTTTCCCCTTTAGCAGGGCAGATGTGGGGTGTCCCTCGCGCGCTTCATCCCAGCACCGTCCTGGTCCTGCGGGAGGATGCTCACGCTGCCTCTCCTGTCATCCAGCTTCCAGGACTGGAACCAGGGAATTTTGGTTCTTGCAACAGCCACGGGAAATGCAGTGATTGATTCCTATTGCTACAACATGCTCGTATGAACACGCTGTCCCCCTGTGTGGTGCCCTGTGTCCCTTGGGGCTTATCCTTGGGCTGGAACCTCTCACGGGCCTTGCCAAGGCTGCCCTCTCACCGTGCGCGGCGGGAACCTCCAGGTGGGTGCGGGCATCCGGAGGGGCATCCAAGCCCCTCTTGGATGAATCCCGGCTGGGGAGGGCCTGCACGTCCCACTGGAATGTGACTCTGGAGCAGGCTTGTGGCGGAGCACTCCGGCAGCTCCGCGTCCCACTCCTCTGGGAGAGGGGGGGTGGCCTTGGAGCGTGTGTCCTGCCGGAGCAGCCTTGGAGCGCGTGTCCTGCCCGCGCCAGGACGGACAGGGACAGATCTCACCACTGGAGCAAGGCGGCCTCCAGGGGCAGCCAGGTGGGAAGGGAAAGGGAAACAGGGCTCCTTTTCTTCTGCTGGATGACTTGGATGACTGGGTGGCTGAGCAGTTCCTGCCCCTAGCTGTCAGAAAGGAGGTGGTGCCGATGGGGGAGATGTGGCAGGGGCCACTGTCCCTACTGGAGGAACACAGTGAAGGCAGCAGCGAGCAGCCAGGCCCTGAGAGATCAGAAGGGGCCTGTTAGGGGCGGGACATGCTTCTGTCAAAGTGTTTTCTGTGCATGATAGTCCCTGTGTTTGAGAGCCTGCTGGGAAGTTGTTCCCACTTGCTGGAACCTGGTGTTCCCTTGCTGTTTCCTCCCCAGGTCAGGTGCCGGCTGTGTTTACCCCCCTGCACGGCCTCAGCTGTGCCAGCGCTGTTGCCCCTGTGTTTGCTGAGGGTGCTTTACCTGCCCCCGTACGTGAGTGGTTGGGCTGGTTGGCTTGTGGGTCGTGGAGGCCGCTCTGCCCTCTGGTTCCTTCCCACGGCCTCCCTGCAGGATCGGGGTGCTTGGAGCACCCTTGGGCAGTGCTGCGTCCCGCGCCACTGTAGGCGGGCTGGCATGGGAAGGGAAATAGTGACTGCAGCAAAACTGCATGGGAATTGGGGAGAAAAAGAAAAAAAAAAATCCATTTCAGCTGCAGCCTGTTGAGGTCACACTTGCTGTGGTTCTGGTTTCTACCCTTTGTGAATTAAGGCGATTTCTGAAAGACTTTTGTTGAAAATAAGCTTTTAGTCGCAGCTTGGCTTTTTGGGTGTGTGGCACAGAGGAGTATAGGAAATATTGCAGGAATTGGCCACAAATAGCATAAAAGGTTTCGCTTCGATTTTGCTGTCTGCTTGTTGTGCCGAGATCAAATTAAGTTTGGTAACTGAAGGAGTAATTCGGGCTCTCTCGTATATAATTCGTTACATATCTAAGTTTTCTCTTGTGCTCGTAGTGTTTCTGTTTCAGCCTTCTGCAGTGTGTCCTTACGTTTGTTTATTCTTTGGAAGATACTTTTTTTGCAGACATTTCTACCATTCATTAACCTCTTGTATTTTTACTGGGTAAATTTGAAGTAATCTAAAAAGAACTTGCCAAGAGATTGGTGAAGATTTGTGAGTGTGAAAGGGTATTCCAGGGCATCCCCAAAGGCCTTTCCTTCCAGAGGGTAAGTCGGTCTCCCCAGTGCCTCCTGTTAGGAATGGCCGTCAGCGTTTGCAGTTGGGCTTGGGTTGCAAAGAACTGATCTCTTGTGTGAGGAAAGACTGAGTGAGCTGGGCCTGCTGAGCCTGGAGAAGGGAAGCCTTAGAGGAGATCTGGTCAATATGTATAAATACCTGAAGGGTGAATGTAGGGAGGAGATGGCTATACTCTTCTTGGGGGTGGTCGGTGACAGGACAAGGGACAATGGGTGTCTTGAAACAGAGGCAGTTCCATCTCCATGTGAGGAGGAACTTCCTTCCTATGAGGGTGCCAGAGCCCTGGCACAGGCTGCCCAGGGAGGCTGTGGATTCTCCTTCTCTGGAGATCTTCCAAACCCGCCTGGATGCCGCCCTGTGCCCCGTGCTCTGGGTGTCCCTGCTGGAGCAGGGGGTTGGACTAGATGATCCCTAGAGGTCCCTTCCAACCTCAACCATTCTGTGAGTCTGTGACTTACCCAGTTTGCAGCTCGGTTCATAGGAACAAATTGGAACGACTTTTCCAGAGTGGGATAATTTATGTTGGTGGGGGGGCAGTGCAGGGAGAGAAGGTCAGCTGTGTTTCACACTGCTGCCTTTCTCCGTGGTCAGGGCTTTCTAATTATAGGCGGGATGAAATGTCAGGCTTCAAAGCCTTTCCCACAGGGAAGGGTCCCTGTCCCAGCGGCGCTGGAGCACAGGGCCCCACCAGCACACTCGCCGTGACCCTTGTGGCTCCTACCTGGAGGGAGCCTTCGGCACCTCTCCCAGCCGCTCGCCCTGCTGCTGTGTGATAGCACAAGCGCCGGGAATGAGGAGGGAATCGCCGCATCCCGGAGCCCAGGGCTCCCGGCTGGGCAGGGCTTCCCTTCTCCCCTGGCGTCCCTAGTCCAGGGCGCTGAGGAGCGTCACCGCCGCACGACGGGTAAGGGGTTCGGGAGCTGGTCAGAGGTTGGGGTGTCTGGCCTGGAAAGTAGCTCCAGAGATTACACTGGAGATACAGGATAAACACAGCTGGCCCCAGTGGTTTTACTCTATTTTTCTTTAAATGGGAAAATTTAAATGAGTAGGAAGAGTGTAGTAACCCTGTGTTGGAGGATTCCTTTCTTCTTTTCCTTCTTTTCCCTCCAGAATAGAGACTCTGTTAATGTTGGAGACTTAAATTCAAATGAGATTCCTGCGGCTAGGGTTCCAGCAAGGCTACGCGGAGCCTGTCTTAACTTCTGTGCCAGATGTGCCGCGCGTGCGAACTGCTTCCTGGCTGCACAAGGTTGTAACGACGCCCCATGAAAAGCTCTTGGTGTCTGTTTCCACCCACTGGCACCATGCGGTAAAATCTTGCAGCGTGTTTTTAAAGTAACTTTTCTGACTTTTCTTCATGTGGTTTAGGAAGTCTTGGATTAACCATTAAAAGGGAATGCCTGTTGTGTGAGTATTCTAGGAAGCTCCTTTTTTTTCCTTCTATTATTTTTTTTTTTCGGTGCTGGGGTGAAATAACCAGGATATCAGTCACCTTCCCTGCCTGCCCCCCCGCTGCAGTTCTGATTAGCAAGAACAGCCTTGAGCACTGACGGACCTTTGGGACACCCAGGCCAAGTGTAAGGATGGGTGTAAGCGGGAGGGCTTCTCATCCCCGTAGCCCTTGGCTGACCCACGGCCTTTCAGAAGGGGAAGAGGCACTTTTTGAATAAAACCCTCCCGGGCAGGGCTTGCCTGGACGGAGCTTATGCCTGAGAGACGGAGCGTTTGAGAACCTCGCAGTGCTCCCTGGGCTCGTCCTTATTTTCCGTGGGATTTCTGGGGTGAAGCCCTGCCCTGTGAGGGGAGCTGTGGGACGGGGCCGGCTCCATGTGGCTGGGCCCACTGCCCTGGCAGGCAGGAGCGATCCCAATAAGGAGCACTGTGGATTTTCTTATGTGTTCCTATATGTTCCATGAGCACATGGGTGCACGCAGGATTTCTTCTGCCTTTCCCTTGCAGAAATTGGGTCCCCACAGCTGGTGGGCTGGTGCTCATCGCCACCCCATGGACAGCTCCCAGGCTGCGGGTCGGTGCCAGCCGGGTGCAGGTGGGAGCTCTGTGGGGAGCAGCCCCGCTGCCAGGGTTGCCGAGGAGCAGAGCCCAGGCTCAGTGTTGGGGGGAGTTGATGCTTTGAGACGTGGGGGCACCTGGGGGCCAGGAAAGCCTCAGGCAGGACCTGCATCTCCTTAGGGTCCCTGTGCATTCGGCCACGAGTGTCCAGTGAACAGGTGATACAGTCGGTGTGCGGGGAGCTCTTTATTGTCCTGTGGGATGCAATGCCGGCTGGGGAGCAGGCCCAGCAGTATTGGGAGTCGGGGCGTCTTTATTTTGGTGTGTGACCAGAGAAACGCTGCCCTGTGGAGGACGCGGAGCTGCGGGGTGCCGGGGTGGGCACAGCCATGCGGATGAGGCTCCACTTCCCGGTTTCTGGCAGCCCGGGGTGCCCGGTGGCTGTTGCTGGGCACGTGCGAGCGGTCCGCAAGCCCTCACACCTCTCCCTTACCCCCATCATCTTCCTTCTGTATTCACCGTCTCCGTAACTGCTCCGTGCTTAGTATTCCAGCTTGGGACAGGTTTTGGAAGCCAGGCTATGGGCAGTTTCTATGTGGTGCTTGATCAGGGTTGGTTTAAAAACCAAAAGGGAACACAGATGTGTACGGAGCGCTGCTCCCTGCCCCAGCACAGGAAGGCGGCGCCTGCGGAGCCTCTCCTGCCCCTCCATGGCATGAAGGGCGCGTGGGGCACTCGGTTCGCTCTGCACAGCGTGGAAGGTGGTGGCAGAGGGGCTGGGAGCGGATCCCGAGGGAGGGATGGGAGCCCTGCCGTGCAGAGGCTGCTGCGGAGCCGCATGGGGAGCGGGTGGCAGTGCAGCCACGGCCAGAGCCGCTGCTGCTGCGAGCCCTTCCCCTTCCTTCTGTGGAGGTGGGGCCTGAGCAAGCAGAACTTGACCAATTCCTGTTTTATTCTCAGTCCTGAAAGCTACAAGAGCCTTTTTGGTCTTGAAACCTGTTCTTCTGTTTTTGCATTTCATCTCGAGCTGGATGTTCTGTCCCCTGCACAGGGGCGCTCCTCGAAGTTGCGTGTTGTACTTACGTGATAAACCTTTCTTCCCAGATCACTCAACTTCAAGCGGTACCTCCTCGTTCAAGCCCAGCCGGTCCCTGCTTTCCATCCCCACCGCCCATGTGATGCCGTCTAATGCCAGCCCTTCGCTCTCCAAGCACCGGGAAGCCGTCAAGTCGGAAGGCTCAAAATGGAGCACGAGCTTCATGCGCTCGGGAGGAGGCAGGAATCAGAGCATCCTGGACACTTCCCTGGACATGAAGGACGCGAGGCCCGTGCGGAAATGGTCCTCGCTGTCCAAGCTGAGCTCGCCGGGCGCCTGCGGCCAGGACGAGAGCGGCCGGCCGGCGGAGCCGCGGGCCGGCGCGGACAGGGCGCCGAGGAGCAGCGCGCCGGGCTGCCTGCACGACAGCATGGAGCTGCTCCAGCTGGAGGACAGGGACGCGGGCAGGAGGCGAGCCTCCCTGCTCGACTGCAAATACAAATTCGAGTCGTGCAGCAGAGACGACTTGGTGGTGCCCGATTGCTCGAGCAGGAGGCCTGCCTTGGAGCTGAGCTACAGTGCCTTACCCGAGAGCGCGTGCGCCGTGGGGCCGGCGTGCGGCGCCGTGGGGCCGCCGGCGGTGAGCGGGGCGCCGCTGCAGCCCGCGCTCAGGACCCAGCTGTGGCTCAAGGAGCAGCTGCGCGCGGCCGGAGCGCGGCCCGAGCGCGGCGCCGCCGAGGAGCCCTGCGGCCCGGCCCCGTGGCAGCCCCGCGCCGCGCCGCAGGTGAGCGTGCCCTTGCTTTAACTTAAAAAAAATATATATATATATATATGTATGTATTGCAGACAGTTAATGTGGCCAGGCTGCTGCCACTGCTTGCAGGCCTCCCCAAAACCCTGCCCTCGCCCCCGTCTGCCACCTTTGGAATCCCCTCTGTGACTGCAGAGAAGCCCCGTGGTTCGTCGGAGCTCGGGCGATGCAGGGATGCATTGCAGGTCCTGTGGGCCTTGGGGGTGCACGGGGGTGGCCACGTGCTGCCCCAGGGCCCCTGTGGCCGCTCCTGGTGCTGGGTGCCCGTGCGCTGCTGCCGGCGCCTCCCAGCTCCTGCTGGGAAACTGGGAAGGAGGCAAAACCTAGAAAATTGCCTCAGAATGTGGCCCGGGGAGCGTGAGAGGCTTTGGGGAACGTCCGTGGTTTTAAAAAAGTGAATGATAAAGTTAAAGGACCCTCTTTAGAATTTTAGAATTCTTGCTTTCATGGCTGTATTATATCCGCATGGACCACTCAGCCTTCATTCGCAGCCAACAGTTGAGAAACCCTGGATTAGAGGTTATTTTTAGGAAACTTTAGGAAATTTTTAGGAATTTTTTGATATTTGAATTGAAATTGGCCATGAAAGAAAACGTATTACAACCATTAAAAGCTCTTAAAAAGGTTAAATCCTCGCAGAAAATTTCCGCTTCCTTTATAGTCTGAGTTTGGCCAGATTTAGCTTCTGCTTGGTGGCGTCTTTTTTTGTGGGTTTTTTTTTTTTTTCACTTTATTTTTTAATACACTTGGCTTGCTAAATGTGACAGCCTTCTATGTGTCACTTCCATGCCAATTCCAAATAATAATTTTTGAAGTAATAATTTTCCACGCGCAGATAACTGGAAAGCCATTCACCAAGCAGCATGTGCAATACGTTTTTGGGTCTTGTTTGCTTTTTCTTAGCTCCGATGTAAAGTACGTGGCTGGGCCTGCATAAGGGAGAAATAGTTACAGCGTGACAGGGAGTCACACTGATTCCAGCTCTGGAATCTGTAGGTGTTGCACGTTTCGTGCCCCGTGATGCTGTTACCTCAATGTTTTTTGGCCGAGGCTGGATGCTGCTTCAGAGAGATGTGTGAAACTTGGGAAGTTGTGGGGGGTGAAGCAGTAGGAAGAGGGCTCCGGGAGGCTCCGTGTGTGTGTGTCAGCTCTGTGCGGTGCCGCAGGCGTCGCGGGGTGAATCCCTGGGTGCTTCTCCCTACGTCTGTGTCTGTGTGTGGCAATTTCTGTGCAATTTCTTCTCGGCGCATGTCAGGATAAACCAGAGACAGCAGATGGGAATTGCTCAGTGCGTTTTCTTTAATAGGTCTTAGTGCCGCCTCTCTTTATTTAGGGAAGTGCCACCTTGGGTGTGGCCTGGATATGAAGGCTGCCAGAGAGGGAATTTTGAGCCAGTGAGAAATGTAGGCATGCTACAGTAATGTGTATGTCGGAAAAGAGAGCAAAATTTAATTGTATGCAACCTAAATATTTTAAACCAAATGTTGTAGAGCATAAAGTGAAAAAAGGTAAACCTTCAGGTTATTTTCTATATATATTCCGTATATTTTCCAGCTGGTTCTGAGCTGACATTTTTCTTGACGTTTGTGATCCTGGCTGATCAGACAACTAGAAAGGATCAATATGAATGTTTTTCCTATGTCACCTTCTGATGAAACTCTGCTTGTGAGGAAAATGAAAAGGCTGGAAGGGAGCAGTTACTCCCAGGTCCTGGGATGAGCTCGTTTTCCCAGCGAGCCCCAGCCGGGATGCTCTTGCTGGGAAATCGGGAGCCTGGCAAGGGGCTGTGTGCAGTGCGGTGGGAGCGAGGGCTCCGCCGGCACCAAGAGCTTCCAGGCGCCGGCAGCGCCTCCGGGGCCGCACCAAGGAGGAGACTGGGCGGCTCACAGGGAAGTGCCGCCGTGTCCCGGGAAGGGAGCCCCTTGGATGCGATGTCTGGGGAGATCCACGTTAGAGCCATGAGCTTCGTTGCCGGCGGCCGCAGGGAAGCGGCCGGAGCTGCGTGCGGAGCCGGTGCCCGCGGCGCCTCCGCCTGTGTCCAGCTGTTGGGTTGTGGCCGCTGCTTCCTGACGTGAGGAGACTTGTGTGTACGGAAGAGCGTGTGGGAAAGGAGCCCTGCGCGGCGCGTCAGGGGGAGCCCTTCCCTTGGGAAAACCACTGGGAGACATTTGTCTTTTGTACCCATTTCTGTGGGTGCTTTTTTTGTTTTCCATGTTTCATACTGTTTCTTGCTTGTGAAGCACTAGCAGAAACTACATAGCGTGTATATACATATATAGTAACAATACTATATGCCAATATACTATATGCCAATGCTGTATATAACAATACTAATAACAAAACAATGTATTACGCGGTGTGTTCATGAACGGAGTTCTTTTAAAAAAGCAGAGAGTTCCCATGTAATCAAAACAAGTGGTCAAGTGCTTACAGGGAAGGAGCTAGTGCAGCTCTCTGCTTTAAGTGCAAGGTAGCAGGTATGGGAGTTGATAGGACTGCGCCAAGAGAAGCGAAGCTGCGGCTCGGCAGTTTGCTTCCCGTTGGGCACGCGGGGTTGGGCCAGCGTTCTGCCGCGCGGGGTTCGTATATTTTATATATATATATATAATATAGACATATATATATACACACACATACGCACACGAGAGAGAACAAGTAGAACTAATGAGGCCGAACAGTGAGAGCCTGGGAAGATTTCCCGTCAGGAGCCAGCTGAGGTTGCGAGCGAGGGTCGCAAGAGGGCAGTGTCCTACAGCTGCAGAGGGGCAACCAGGCGAAACTGGTTGTCAGAAACTAGAATCAATGAATACATTCAGGTCTGTAAAACCCTTACATGACCTGTTTTTACCTTATTATTGTTACTGTTTTTGTTAGGGTGAATACCAGCTTTTGCAAAAATCCTTACGGGACTAAAAAGTTTTCACTCCTCTCCTTCTATAAACAATCCCCTCTCCTCTCTTTTTCCTCCTTTTTTTAAAATGTAGATGAAAGCCAAAAGGGACTATATTTAATGCTAAATAAAGTGTATATATATCTGTTGTAGAGGATGTCACAAACATTTCCTAGCTTTATTTTGATGGATTCTACTGTTGAACATATGGATATAGGAGGCTGATCTGTAGCCTATAGGATAGACCAACAGATATGAGCAAGGATTTAAGACATACTTGCTAAATGAATGTATTTTGTATGTGCCTCTCCTCAAGTTTTGACTAACTGGGTATGGTTAAAGTGCATCTAGACATGAAGGGTGTGATGTAGATGATTTTATTTTTGTAGGCATACATAGCAAAATTTACGTGCAAGTCCTTTTCTCGTGGAAGTCTACCCAGGGTATTTTGTGTGTGTTTTCTGGAAGTTGTTGTTTAAGCCTCTTTTACGCTTTCAGTGCCTGGTTCAGCCCAGCTGCTAAGGGCAGTCACTGCAAACCTGGTGCAGAGCAGGTGGTAAAGAAAGGCTGTTGCTCGCTACCCTTTCACTTGCTTTACTCACTACTGCTGATCAGAACAAAGTTTTAATTCCCAACGGGATGACTTTTCCACAGAAAAATGGGCAGGTTTCTGCTGCAGTTCCAGGTGGCAAGATAAATTTTTTAACGCAAACAAACGCTTTTCCCTCCACCAGGACAACAACAAGAAAGACATTTTTGTGCCTTACCGGTTCCTTACCGGTGTAAAATGGCCACCAGTGTCACTGTCACTTAAGCTCGAGTCGGGAATTAAGAACTGAATTCTGGGAAGGACAATACAAAACTGTCGCTTTCTGATTTTTGTTTTTCATCATCTATTGGAAGACAGAATAGCAAAAATACCTGGCATGGAGAGAAGTGAGACGGAGCAATGAAAGCCTAACCCGAGCCACCTCTTATGCTTGGAATTTTATTATTATGCCTCGTAAAAGTAGTGAGCATTTTGCTTCAACTTTCATAAAACTCCTTACGATAGTTTCCGTGCACTCGCTGATGAGTGTAAGTAAAATAATTCATAGGTGATTTGGACATGGCAACGTAAGCAAATTCACTGTTCAAAACCAAAGCAACATAAACAGCTATAAAGAATCAGAAAGTTTCACAATTGCTCGTTTTTTCACATAAACTAGGCTTATAAATACCTGTTACAATGGACACTTATTTCTAAACTGGATTGCATTTGGATAGCTAATTTAAAGCATAAATATGTTTTCAAGAATTATCTTAACAGAACGTACAGGAGGTGCTAGTTTTAAAGCTCTCATAGGTAAACCAAGAAGGGTTCTATGTACAGAAGGCATTTTTAGATACCGGGTTTAGCTGATGCTGTGTAGCGTGGGGTCTGCTGGCTGGGCTTAGCTCAGCAGAGCTGCAGGACACTGTGTGACCCAGCGCAGCTGCCGTTTATCTGCACTGCTCTAAATCAGCACTAGGGCTTCCAGGTTCTTGATAGCCTGGTTTTATTCTTGCTTCTTATGGCTCTTAAATAAATAAAGAGTTTTCCGATTGTTTCAAAGGAAGCTTATTTTAGAAGTGCTTTCAATGTTGCAAAGATACTGTGTGTGTTTGGTGGAAGTCGTTTGAAAGTTGGCTGAAGCCAACTAAAACTGGGAGCCCTGTTCCTTACACAGAAACATAGTTGGGTTTTTTTTTCCAGAAATGAAAGTAACTTGCATTTTCCTACTTTTTCCCACTGAAGTAGTTTGCTGCATTTGTTCTTTTTTTTTTTTTTTTTTTTTTTTCCCTCTCTCTTAAAAAGGAGCAATAATAGGGAAAATGTGCAGCTGAAATTTCCATAGGGAAGGTAGTTTGCTGGCGAGGAACAATGATGCCAGGTGTGTGGCCTGATCTGCAGCGGTGGACGCCAGATCTGAGCACATTGTGAGCCTAGAAGCTCTGCGTGTTAAGTATCTTAAGGCCGAGTTTAAGACTGAGATCGGCTTATTTTGTTTTCCTATATTTATCATTGGGATTGGTTGCAAAGGAGGGTACAGAAAGTTGCCCTTAAAAGTAGCTGGCCACTTGACCTCTGTGTGTCGTCTTTTGAGGTGTATTTGAATTTGAAATTTTAGAATTTAGTATGGGAATATAGAAAAATAGGAGTATGAGCCCCTAGGAACACATGGGGGCTCTGTAAGTCCAGTGTGCAGCCTTGCTACAGAGAACTGCAAATGTGCAAAAGGGGTGTGTGTGCGCATACATATATATGTGTGTGTGTGTGTATATATAAATATATACATATACACACACACACACACTATACACACACACACACACTCTATGGTTTCAGGCTGAAAGACATTTTTCTGCAGTGCTTTGCCTCCCATGCATAATGCTAGTTTGTTTTGGCCGGATAGCTGTCTGTTCCTGAGCAGGCGTTTGCAGGGGCGGCAGCGGTGCTGCCCCGCGGGATAGCTCTGCTCAGAGCAGCAGTCCAGGCGGCTCGGCCATATCCAGGGGGGCCGCCCCGAGTGGGGCTGGCCACCAGCAGGTTTGCTGCAGCTCTAGACTGAGGAGGTTTCTGCAGAAAACGTCAGCGCAGACCGTGCTAGAGCTGCCGAAAGCTGAATGTTGGGAACTTGGAGCATTGCTTGGGTTTTCCCTTGGGCTGTTAGGCTCGTTCAGTGACTGCAGAACAGGAGAACTTGGAGACCCAGTCAGTGGTTCCGATTGCTGTTTCTGCAAGCACACTGCGAGAAGCCGTACTTCTTGCTTGATAACTCAAAGATGCAGTGTCTTGAAGCAGGCAGAATGGAAGATTATCTGTGATGTGATCAAATCGATGTGTATGTGTCTAATTTTGTGTGTATGTGTGGACTCGGGCCTAACTTCAAACCAAGACCAGCAGCTTAGCAGTGCTCGGCGCAGCCCGAGATGGGGGTTGTCCATGCGGCCTCCCACCCTGCAGCGGCTCCACTCCCGCGCCCGTTCCCGGCTGGAGCGCCAGCGGCCGCCAGCCCGCAGGACGAGCCGGCTCCTGACGCGCGAAGAGGCCTCCCTCGGGCACGGGGCGGGTTTTGAACGGGTTTTTAATGGTGGGAGGAGGGCGCGAGGTTGGCGTGCGGCACTAGTCCCGGCTCCGGCGGCGGGAGCTCCCGGCGCCGTGCTCTTCCCCCAGGAATGACTCTGCTGCGGGCGGCGCGGAGAAGGGCCGGGCCTTCAGAGGAGCATCACGATGATGCAGATGAGCAAGAGGCAGATGAGGATGAGGCAGAAGTTCACGAAGAGCTCCTGGAGGCGCTGGCGCGCCTGCGGGTTCACCTCGATGGTGGAGGCTCTCCTCAGGGCCGAGCGCGTTATGTACTGCACCTTATCCATGGCAGCGGGAGGGCAGAGCTCTGGGCAGCGCAGGACACGAGAGGAGTTCCCGGGAGCGGTGCCAAGTGCCCGGCGTCGTCCCGGGCTGGTTTAGGCAGTCCTGGTGGAGCTGGGAAAGCAGGAGAGCGAAGAGTTAGACACACGGAAGTAAAGTGCTTTGATCAGTGCAAGTGGAAATGGTTTTCAGATTCCAAAAAAGCCTGAAATAACTTCTCTCTGCAGTGTTTTCAATGTAAACTTAGGTTTCCAAAACTTTGCTTTTCAAGGTTAGGTTTATGCTCATCTTGAAGACTACTAAGCACCTGCCCCTTAGCAGCCATGGCCCACGATACTGTAAGGGGAACTGCAGGCTGTTTAGATCCTGATCTTTGTCTTCCAGCATCTGTGCAAAGGCCATACCTGAGTGGTGTGCGTGTGTGTGTGTGTGTGTTGTCGTCCCCCTTGCCATGGGGTCAGACCCACAGCGCATAGCAGAGCTGCAGCAGGAGGCCTGGTGGCTGCTGCTGCTGACCTGCACAGCTCATCTGACTTCCCATTCCCATCCTCCGTGTCGGGGCCGGGTGCTGCGCGGGATCGCGAGGGGAAGCACGAGGCTCGTGTGGGATGTGGGGAGCCCTGAGCGGGGATCCCATCGGGAGACGCGGTCCCGGTCGCTGCTGCCCCATCGCTGGCAGGTGACCGTGTCTGTGGGTCACGGGGGGTATTTTTAGCCGTGTTTCTGGGCGTCCTTCGCAGGGAGCGCAGGAATGCGAGCAGTGCTGCCGGCCACAGGCTGCGCTCGCTCCCCGCGGAGCCGCGTCCGCTCCTCTGGAGTCACGTGGGATAAATTTGGCTCCGCTGGAAAGGCCGCAGCAATTTTAGCGCTGGCCTGTTTCCTGTCACACGTTTACTAAATGCAGCAGTGATATCAGTGGAATGGGAGAGGTTTGACATACTTGATTTGCGGCTCTCCCATACAATCAAGTGAAGCTGCAGCCTTGAAAAGACATTGCTAAAAATGACCATTGTGTAATGGTGTCACCCGTAGCTTTCTGTAGTGAGATCACCCCAGGAAGAGTCATCCATCTCTATCTCTTGCAAATGAACCTCTCTGTTCATAAATGGTGATAGAAAAAGTATGTGGAGTTGGGCTTGGCGAGCGTCTGTCTAGAGCTGCTGCCCCGGAGCTGCCCGGCACAGAGCGGCCCGTGGGGCAGCTGATCCCTGTTGCTCTCGCTCCGTGAGCGCTGCCATCCTCCCAGAGAGAGAGAGAGGCAGTTCCGGCACATTTCGGGAAAAAAACCCTTAGCATTTGGGTACGTAGGGCCAGAGCCACCCTGTCCACAGAACTAGATGCTGTGAGTTTAGTTGAGCTGAATTTGGAGCCTTTGATGGAAGCATCTGTGGGAAACGCAGCCCCAGGGGAGGAGAGAGGGAGCCAGGAGGGGGGGAAGGAGAAGGAAGGAGGAATGGGAACTAACTTGGAGGCCTCTAGAGGGTCTCGCTGCTCTTCCTCCAATTTATTCAGTGAGCAGAAGTTTACATCTGTAGCGTGGAATAGCTCCCAGGTTCTGGAGTACAGAAGGGATTTGTAGAGGTATGTCACTTTTTTGTTGATGGAGAGCAAAATAATCTGGAGGTGACTTGAGAGGGTTTATCTCTGTGGCTGGATGTATTATTTCTGTGCACTAGGGGCACCTTGGAGGCAGGAAGGGAGGAAGGAGGGTGGGTTGTGGGGAAAGACCAAGGAGTGGGGTGGGAAGGGAGCGCAGCTGGCGTGCACTGAGTGCTAGTGGCTGCCTCGTGACAGGCTGTGTCCTCAGGCCCAGGCCGAGGACTAAACTCATGTTTTGTCCTTCCTTTCCCCTGGTTTTAAAGCCTGGCCGGTACAGAAGCATTGATAATGTCATGGTTTGGGAAGATGAGTCTTTCAAATCAGCAGGTCAGGCTTTTCCTGCCTCTTCCTGCAGCCACCACAGCACCCAGAGGTGCGAGCTGGGCAGCTGCCCCAGCTGAAGCAGTCTGCACTTCCCCAGGAAAAACAAGGTGTGCCATACACATATATAATAATATAATATACACACACACACATGCACACACAATGCCGTGTCCTTTTCCCAGCAGCGGGTGTGATTTGCCATCTTAGATCCTTCCCTGTCCTGCCCTCCCAGGTGCCAAACACCTTGTGGTGCCAGGCCAGGCTGTAGGTGTGGTGGTTCACGTGGCCCCTCTTGCCAACAGGAGACGGGCAGGTGCGCTTTGAACCAAGGATAAACGGCAGTGCACCTAACACACCTAAAGGCTGCAAGGGGAACGAGTTGCCACGTTTTGTTTCGGAGATTGTTTTTCTAGTTATTGCTTTTATTTTTTAAATCCTTTTAGCAGACAAAGAATGGCACTGATTCAAAGAATCAAATAATGGACAAACTTGACTTCTGAAAAGTACTCTGGTGCTAGGAGAGTCCTCCATAGCTATACCTCAGTTTCTGGAAAGTAAAAGCTTGGTAGTTGTGTCCCCTAGTTCAGGGAATGTGATGGTATTGTGTGTGTGTGGTTTGGGTTTGGTTTGTTTTCCCTAGTGGGGATACTTTTCTCTTGCTAACTCCAGTTGTTTCACAAACTGCTTCAAGAATAAGTATTCTTGTTCCTGTTCAAGTGTATCATATACACCTCAGTTTGGTAGTCTGAAAAATCCAGGGAAAGTCGTCTTTCTTGGATCTGATTATGAAATAATCTTTGAGGTTCATGTTATATAGCAAAGAATCTGTATTCCTAACTTTTCTTTAGAATGAGGAATAATAAGGTGCAGTTTCTTTAAAGAGCACCTTAAAGTGATGTATACAGCAACCCTAAATACTGATAATACAGGAGTCTTGACAACTGGACGGCAAAGCAGCAGGAAACTGGGAAACGTGGCTGCTGCAGCCCAAGGACCTCCGTTCCCGTGCGTGTGCCTGGTCTCTGTATGCGTAGGCGAACTATTTAACAAGCAAAGAAATCTCTGTGCAGTGTATGGATTGGGACAGATTTTCAACCGGATGGAATAAATGCAGGCTCTCCTCTGCACTTAGTATTACGTTTGAAGCAAATTTAAACATAGTTGTGTAGTCCCGGCTGGCCCAAGGATGCTGAGCACAAAGCCGGGCGCCTGGGGCCGCGCTTGGCCTGGTGCCTTTGCCGGTCTCTAAGGGCAGTTGGTTGTGCCTGCTCGGGAAGGGGACAAAGGTGCCTCAGGAATGGCATGGAGGCTCTCTTCTCCGATGCCAGGACTTTAAATATCTGTAAATCGAGGGGTGTAGGTCAGTGGGAAGGGACAGGGAATAGTGTTGAGGAGAGCAAGTACAAACTGTTTGCTCTGAGCTTGCGAGTCAAACCACATTTCTTTCCTTAACCTGCAAAGCAATTTGTTAAACTCTACACCTACGTATTCCAGAATTATATTCCTTTAAAAATACTTGTATATATAAATACTAAAATACACTTTTTATGGCATATGTCACTATTTGATCTCTGTTTTCTTCAGTTTGCGCTCGTCTTAAAGCTAGGGCAGTATTTTACTTTTGGCGTTAAAGCTTGGCTCATGATGCTACAAATAAATCTGTTATTGGGAGTGTTCTAGGACAAACAAGACTTTTTTTCCTCCTGCTGGCCATTTTAACCTTTAAAGGATTTCATAGAAAAAATACCGTGCGAAATCTAGTTCAAACTGAAGGTAGTAAAGCAGTAGTAAAACATCAGTTATAAAACTTTTCTTTTTTAAAAAAATCAAGAATACCATTCTCAGCATGCAGCAAACTCCAGAGTTTTGCTCTCTCAGTGCGTTAAATGAGCAAAGAGTTAAATCTCTGAGTTGAACTGAAGCAGCCTCCCTTGCCGGGGGCTGTGGGCAGACACACACCAGGGCAAACGCAGGTGTCTCTAGAAGACTGCAGGTGACTTTAGTGAGTTTCATATATTGAAAAAAGCAAATGGGGCCACACGTGGGGGCAGCTGGAGCCGAGGCCGGCATGGAGCAGTGCAGCATGAGGAGCGGAGCAGCGCGAGGAGAGCAGAGGAGCAGCACGAGGAGCAGCGTGAGGAGAGGAGCAGCACGAGGAGCAGCGTGAGGAGAGGAGCAGTGTGAGGAGCAGCGCAGCGGTGCAGCGCGAGGCAGCGGTGCAGCGCGAGGCAGCGGCGCAGCGCGAGGCAGCGGCGCAGCGCGAGGCAGAGGAGCGTCGCTTACCTGCGGGGCCCGGCGCCGTGTCCGGCTCGGCGCGTCCCTCGCCGCGAGTGGCCCGCGCCTGGGAAGGCGGCGGCAGCGGGAGCCCGGCGCGTCACCCCACTGCCATTGGCCCCGCGGCCGCTGGCACCGCTCCGGCCGCCCGCGGCTCCTGCCTCCCAGCAGGGACCACGGGGATTTGTGGGTTTTTTTTTTTCCCCCCTCTTGTAAAGGAAAGTCGCCGCTGGGGAGCAGAGCTGCGGAGCCACCGAAGGAGGGAGGGGTCTGGAACAGAGTCGGAGTGAAGCGGTGCGATCTGGTGGATGAGTGAGAGGAGCTGGGCGCCCATGCTTTTTTAACAAAAACTGGAATTGGGCAACGTTTCCTCATAATGAAAGTCCAAACCCCCTCTGGGGCTGCTGTTTTTCAGGCTGGAGTGATGCACGGGACACTGCATGGGCAGGTGACTCCAGCAGCAGCCGCGTCCGGAGTGCTGCGGGCGGCTGTTCCAGCCACGCTGCCCCTGCCCCAGGGTCGCCCTCCTCCCACCGGGAAGCTGCTCCTCAGGGGTCACAGCTTTTGCCCCGTTTCAGGGTCACACAAATCTTTCCTCATGTGAAATGTGATTTCACAGAGAAAATGTGCAATGTGAAATGAATTTTCCTGTGAAGTGCGGCAGGGTTTTGTCCTCCCCATCCCCAGGCGCCCTCTTTGCTGCCGGCAGCAGTCCCAGGCAGTGTTTTGGACAAGGGAGTGCAGCAGGAGGCTCCGTGTGCTTGGGAAGAGGAGGGTTTGCTGGATGTGGAAAGGACTGAGCCTTGTG